TTTTGGCGGGGGGGGTTAGGAGAGAGGCTGAGTGGGGAAGAAGGAGGGGAGTGGAGGAAGGGATACGAATGATGATAACGGGAGGAGGCTGAAGGCTCCCCTGAATTGATCAATCAGCCCGTGATACACAGAGGACTTCTTTTGTCCCGGGGAAGTGCAGGCCTGGCCCCCATGCATTCCCATAACCCCCCCTTAACATATTAACATATTATCCATGAACCATTATCCATGAGCCATTTCACAAGAGTGAATTAAAGCGGCCAAGCTGAGGGATGTGAGACTTCCTACCCCTTCTTGTGCATGTGTGAACTCTCTAATTCCATGTGAATGAGGCCATTTAAGTGCTGTTTTTCCTTCTTTTTTGTCTTCCTTCTCAGAAAAACTTGACACCCTCCGTCTACACTTACACACAAACACGGCTAACTATGCTTTTTTTGTTTTTCTCTGCAGCGAGGAAAAGGGTTTGCTAGCTCCTTCCGCGTGGACATACCAGAGACTGCGTGACTTTGCACAATCACTCCTCGACAACCAAGGCTATAAAAACAAAAAAAGAAGCATCAAGTTTTTAACCTTTATTGCCCTCCCTGCCCTCTTCCCTCCTCACCCAGCCTGAAATTCAAAATTAAAACACACCCAACTACACGCAAAACTGAGGAATGACCCCCTCGAGGAGCTTTCTGGAATTCCTTGGAGCACTGCCGGGCTTTGGAGACACCCCACTCTTGGGATTAGGAGAGCGTGGGGGGGTTGGGAGATGAGTGCAGGCAGGTAGATGGATAGCCTTACCGGAAGGGACCCCATTGTCTCAGCAGGACTGAGAAACTAACAAGAGGAGGAGGAAGAACACTAGCGACAGAGAGATGAAACTGGACACTGATCTCTCGCCCTTTTTCCAATCTGCGTGTGCCTGTTTACAGCACTGATGTATACATCTCTGAGGAAATTAAACCTGACGCAGACTATATATGTGTACTGAAAGACAAATGGAGAGCCACCTGGAGGAACCGCCACTGAGCCCTTTAGGCGTTTGTACTCGCAGAGAGACGCCAAATTGTACAGGAGAATCTTTGTGCATTTCAAAATGCAATACCACTGTTTTAGATTTTTCTATTCTGTTTGTGTGGTCAGGTGTCTCTATTCCGATCTACTTCAAACTTTGTAAGAAAAGATTGTGGGCAGGATATTTTTTAATTTTTCTGTTTTATTTTGTTTTTTCAGTTTTTGTTCTTTTTGTTCGACTTTGGGTTTGGTCGGTTCACCTTATCGTGGGCTTAGACAGTGTTTTGCCCGCAATTTTCTGATTCTGAGGGATCAAGTAGTTTCTATCATGTGTGAGAAGTGTTTACTGTACTCTTTTAAAAAGTTTCAAGCTGAATATAAAACTCTATATATAAATCTATCTATATCTACTTGTTCTGAAGGCGTGCCATCCGTTTGCTGGGTTCCACATTCTGATTCAGAGGTTTGACTCTTATTTAAGTGCCCCTGAAGAAGGCTTTTTGTTTTTCCCATTGGGGAGACGTAAAGAGAGACAGAACAGCCTTAGCAGATGTAAAACTCAAGTTCTCATTGTTTGACATTATTTAATTTTTTTCTCTCTCCACTTTTGGATATCGATAAAGATCATGTCTATAAATAAAAAGGAGGTAATAATTTAGGTTAAAATCCATGGTAATTATGTGTCATTGTAACCAAAACGTTAAGGGTCCATTTATAAAGAACAAAAACATGACCAAATGCAAAAGGTGTTGTACACAATGCGGTGGCATCCAGTATACACACATTACTTTCTCACACGTTACAAACACACCAATATGCCAACAATAAACTGAAAAAAATGGTGAAAAGGACGGTCTTGCGTGCCTTTATTTTGATGTATTTCCTTGTAGTAAAAGAAAAAGTCAGATTTCAGGTGATCTGACTAAAGGAATTGTGTTTCCTTTATGTCAATTTTTCTTTCTTTCTTTCTTTTTTTTTTTTTTTTTTTTTTTAGTTTTCAGAAGGAAAACTGGTAGTAACCAGAAGTTGTTAAATTAAGCCGGAGTACGGATTTTGACCCGTTTTACTCTGATGATACTCATACACAAAGCACTCATTCTGTGAGCTCATACAATATAATGCACTGTTATAGATAAAAACAATACGATATAAAGATATATGCAGACATATTCATGTAAAATGTTCTGCATTCAATGTTTACATAACTAAAAGTACAAAAGGTATGACAGAGATTAGCTGTCACATTACTGTGGTCAAGATGGAGCTAATTTATATTTCATATAATTTTTCCAGCAATGTGAAGAAGTGTCTTGATTTGCTCTGCAAAGCATATCAAGCATATTATAGATAGATAGATAAATAGATA